TTCATTCATTTCTTACTTTAGGGCGTTTGAGCAGGGGTGGCTATTCACACCAAAATCCCCCCCCCAAAAAAAGCTGGTTGGGGAATTCTGGGAGTTGAAGTCCACAGGACTTAAACTCACCAAGGTTGAGAAACACTGGTTTAGCATGTCGCCCAGAATAATGTTGCTTTGATTACCAGCTGATAATTGGGCTCCCTTTATGAATCCACCCAACCTAACCTTAATTTCTTATTTGTGGACTTCTAGTCAGCATCCCTGTCTACCAGATTTTCTTGCTACACATGTGCACAAACATACCGAGGGAGAGAGAGGTAGGAAAAGAGAGGGAAGGGGAGAAGGAGAGGGGTAGAGGGAGGGAGAAGGACAGGGATAGGGAAGGAGATCCTGAGTGGGAGACAGGGAAGTGGGGAGGGAGAAAGGAAGAGTTGAAGGTTATTGGATTTTCTATTTAATCTTTTTTAACTTTTGTCATATGTGTTTTTATGTTGTACGCCGCCCTGAGTCCTTTGGGAGAAGGGTGGCATATAAGTTCAATAAAACCAAACCAAACCAAGAGGGAGGGAGAGCTGGAGAGGGATAGGGATAGGGAGAGAGGGGTGGGAGTGAGTGAGAGAGAATGATAGAGACAGACAGAGAGAAAGAGAGACAGGTAGAAAGAGAGAGACAGAGAAAGAGAAAGAGAGTGAAAGAGAGACAGAGAGTGAGAGAGAGAGAAAAACAGAGAGAGAGAGAGGTAGAAAGAGAGAGAAGTAGAGAGAGAGAAAGAGAGACAGAAAGAGACAGAAAGAGAAACAGAGACAGAGAGAAAGAAAGACAGAGACAGTGATTCACAGAGAGAGACAGGTAGAAAGAGAGAGAGAGACAGAGAAAGAGAGAACAAGAGAGAGACAGAGAGAGAGAGAGAAACACAGAGAGAGAGAGAGGTAGAAAGAGAGAGACAAAGAGAGAATGAGAGAGAGAGAGAGAGAGAGAGAGAGAGAGAGGAACACACACACACACAGAGAGACAAAGAAAGAGAGACAGAGAGAAAGAGAGACAGAAAGAGAAACACAGAGAGAGAGACAGAGACAGAGAGACAGGTAGAAAGAGAGACAGACAGAGAAAGAGAACAAGAGAGAGAGAGACAGAGAAAGAGAGAAACACAGAGAGAGGTAGAAAGAGATAGAGAGGTAGAAAGAGAGAGACAGAGAAAGAAAGACAGAGAGAAAGAGAGACAGAAAGAGAGACAGAGAGACACACAGAAAGAGACTGCTCTGGCCTAAGAGACCAACTATATTTAATCTCTCCTCTTAATTTTCTCTTATACCACAAGTTGGCCATTTGTGGTCCTGTTGAGCGCATTGCACTAATCCAGATTAGAAGCATGGGTACAATTAGGAAACAAAATGGATCTGCGCAAAGACCTTCCCAAGAGGAAGCTGTGAATCTAGGATACTTAATCCTCATTCTGACTGAGAGGGTGCTGGCAAACATTCACCAACATACAGTCTTCAAAGGCAGCCCCGTGTCGAGTGCATTGCAGTAGTCCAGACATGTAACCATGAAGGCAGGACCTATTTTGTTGGAGTAAGTATGGGAAGGCCTCTGATATCTACCCGGTTTCCCCCAAAATAAGCCCTCCCCGAAAGTATTGCAACACAGCAGCAGCCATGAGGTGACCATGCTCGCCGCCCTCTGCACCTTAAAAATAATAAGCCCTCCCTGAAAATGAGGCAAAATGCTTATTTTGGGG